CGGGCTGGGGGGCGGGGCCTCGACAGCGGGTTTGGGGAGGGGCGCGGGGACGCCTGGGGGGAGGGGTGTGTGCGGGGGAGATGGGCGGGGCTTGGAGAGGGACGTGAAGGGACAACACAAGGAGGGAGCGCGGAGTACGGGGGGGAGGGGGGAGAAAGGCCCCAGCACGCCGGTCACGGAAGGGAGGGAGGCCGCGGAGGAACGGCCACACATGGGGAGGGGGGTCCTAGGGACGACCAGTCCGCGAGACAGGGGGCCGGGGCTGCGGCGGCGTGGGCAGGGAAGGGTGAACCGACACCCGGAGCGCGGCGAGGACCTGCGGGCGGAGGCGGATGGGCGTGTGTGCTGCGCTGAGGGCTGGGGCTGGACGCTGCAGACCTGGATGACCCAAAGACTACGGTGGGGGCCACACAGACGGGACGGGCTACCGAGGCAGGACGAAAACGACACTGGGGAAAGTGGGACCTACGGGGCTGCAGGAGGGTGGCGGGGGCGGCCTTGGGCTCGGCAGGAAGGCGCCACCACCGCCCTCTGCCCGTCCCCAGCGTGCCCCGCCCCGTCCGGGGGCCCTAAGGGCAGCGGCCTGGGCCTTGGGGGAGCCGAGCCAGGGCGGTACCATTCGGAACAGAGAGGGGGGCTTGGGGGGAAGGGAGGAGCCAGGGGTCAGAACCCTGTTGGGGGCGCCCCCCCCCACGCCACACCCTGGGAAAAAGGCTTGGGCACATCCAGAATGGACCAATCAGCGTGCAAGGCCAGGGTGGCGTCAAGGGGCAGCTTCGGCCAATGGGAAGCGAGAACACTTCGGAGGTTCGGAGGAAGAAAAGAAAAAAAAAAAAAAAGCCCCACAAAACAACAATCGAATCCATTTGGGGGCTTGGAAAGCTGTAGTGGGCGTCGTTTATAGCAGGTTCTAGCGCCTGCCTTCTCCTTTGAAAGATGGGGTCGCCAGCATCACTCCTGGGCGGTGGGGCGCACCCGAGCTGAAGAGGGTCCCGGGAAAGTAGATAGGGATTGGCGGTTTACTGGGGGCACTTGATTGGGCGCTTCATTTTGGGGGTGGGGTGGTTGGGACGGAGGTGGCAGCTTTGTGCTCCAAAGAGTGAAAGAGAAGGTTGTGGTCTCTTAAACGGAGGCAGGAGTGGACACAATCCCCTCATTGCCCACCATTGGCTACTGTCTTCTTAAGTGTCAACCAGCAAGTGGGTCGTGGCTAATCTCGAGCCAATGGATAACTTTAAAATGCCCTTTGGGCTCTGAACATCGCTCAATGTATTCGGTCCCCTTTCTGGCCCTAGGGAGGATTAGGATGAGCAACCATAGGGGCCCAGAGCTCCTACGGAGGACTTCGTGTAACAATTTATGGCCTTTTTGGCTGTGAGATTAGTTTAGGGTTATGGTCCCTGTTTAGCCACTAATGTGTAACACTTGATACATTACTTTGCAGTCTTAGCTATGAATTAAATGTATTCAAATTGCTATTTGAATCATTTTCTTTGAAGGAGCTCTGGCATCATAGTGGTTACGAATCAGGCTGCTAATCTCATGATCAGCGCTGTTCCGCGGGAGAAAGATAAGGCTTTCTGCTCCTGTACAGATTTACAGTCTCGGAAACCCTGTACAGGGTCGCTATGAGTCAGAACCGACACCACGGCACACAACAACAAAGTTACCTTTGAGGTCTAAAAATTTTTGAGCATGCTTGGAGAATTCTGGTGTGCTTGGAGCAGAGGGCCATCTTTGTGAGAGGTACTGCAAAGCAAAACAAAACGGGGAGTGGTAGACTTTTGGGTTCCGGGATATTGGCAATGTCTTTATAAAACTCCGAAATATACATGAATGTACATGTTGCTGCATTTTCCTGGGGAAGAGTCCATAACTTCAGCTTCTCAGAAGGCACCGTCACACGCATACACAAATTACCCTGTTTTGGTTAAAGGGTTGGTGCATGAAGTTCCACGTTCCTTGGAGGGAGGATGCAAAGGGTAGTACTGTCCCCCATATATGCAGATTGTTTTCATATCCTGTCCTCAGGACTCTGATGGAGAGGAAGTTTCCTAAATTCCTTGTTAGAAATCTTAGGGGCAGGGGCTCTATCCATATATTTCTTGTCATTCTAAGAAAGGCAGGTTCCCCATCCCTGAGAAGCCCAGGGGAGCTGCCATACAGCAAAGTAATGCTTGAATAACCTCTAGGTTCAATCAGGAGTGAGTAGCTGGCCCTGAGGAAGGAAAGGGAATAGAGCTTTACTTCTGGAGAGCTCACCTACCTCATCTGTCAAGTAAGGATAAAACATTGTTGTTAGGTGCTGTGGAGTCACCTGCGACTCACAGCGACCCTGTGCACAATACAAGGAAACACTGCCTGGTCACTGTCTTATTAGTAAAACAGAAGCTAGGTGCTATAGACAGCAATCACTGCAAGCTGGGGCTCTCACCAAAACACTATTTTTAAAAAGTGGCTGGCCTGTGGGGCTAGAAGCCGGCTTCAGCACCATCCTGGTCCAGAACAGACTCAATTGCAATTTGTGCACCCCGTTTCTATGCTCAGAGGTTAGCAACATAGTGTTTTATCACTGCAGCTTCAAATTGCTATTTGAATCATTAGCTGCATCCTATCTAATGTGATGTATTTAATAAAAAAAACCCAAACCCAAAATCACTGCCATCAAGTTGATTTTGACTCATACTGTTAATAGGGACTCCTGGTTTGTTGCTGTAAGAATAAGCACTGGGCGGTTCAAACCCACCAGCTGCTCCTTGGAAACCCAGTAGTGGGCTGTTATGAGTTGGAATCGACTCACTGTAAATCTTACAACAGACTGTAAATCTTTATAGGAGATTTATAGCCTGGTGGGTTTGGACCACTGACCTTGTGTTTAGCAGCCTAATGCCTAACCCACAGCACCACCAAGACTCCTTATTTAAGATTGTACATTACGGCCAATTCTCTCCATTCTGATTTCAGTCCAGTTACATAATCCCTCGAAGTTTGGCCATCTTGGCCTCCAAGGAGCTCTCTGGCTGCACTTCTTCCATAACGGATCTATTGGTTCTTTTGACAGCCCATGGCACTTTCAATATTCTCCAACACCATAACTCAAAAGCATCAATTCTACGGTCTTCCTTATTCACTGTTCAGCTTTCGCATGCATATGAGGTTATTGAAAATACCATGGCTTGGGTCAGGTGCACCTTAGTCCTCAAGCTGACGTCTTTGCTCTTCAACACTTTGAAAAGTTCCTGTGCAGCAGATTTGCCTAATGATTTCTTGACTGCTGCTTCCGTGAGTGTTGATAGTTGATCCAAGAATGAAGTCCTTGACATCTTCAATCTTTTCTCGGTTGATAAGAATGTTGTTTACTGGTCCAGTGGTGAGGATTTTTGTTCTTTACATTGAGATATAATGCATACTGATGAATCTAATTCATCAGTAAATGTTTTAAGCCCTCTTCACTTTCAGCAAGCAAGGTTGTATCTGTTTTGGAAGAAGTGCAGCCAGAGTGCTCCTTGGAGGCCAAGGCGGCCAAACTTCGTCAGACATATTGTCAGGAAGGACCAGTCAATGGAGAAGGATATGATGTTTGGTAAGGTGGAGGGTCAGAGAAAAAGAGGAAGACCCCCAATGAGATGGATTGGCCAAGTGGCAGCATTGATGGACTCAAGTGTGGCAACAGTAGTGAGGTTGGCCTAGGATCGGGCAGTGTTTCATTCTGCTGTGCATTAAGGTCGCTATGGGTCAGTACTGACTCGATGGCACCTAACAACAACACATAATCCCTACGGAGCACAGTGGCTCTACAGGATAAACACTGGACTGCTGACCACAAGGTTGTTGGTTAGAGCACACCATTCAAAGGAGAAAGAGGCTGCTTTCTGTTCCCATAAGATTTATAGCCTTGAAAACCCTCTCCAGGGTTGCTGTGAGTTGGAACCGCCTCAACAGCACATAGGTAACAATCCTTTGCGGCAATGGTGGTTCCACTGTAGAGTTCATGCCTTCCACAGTGGAGCCCTGAACTCCAGCCAATAGACCTAAAGTTCTCAGCATCCGCCTGGCAACAAAGCTTGTGTTGCTATGACAAGGAACAGGTTTTGGTGGAGTTTCCAGATTAAAGTGGACTAGGGAGAAAGGCCTGCCAGTCTTCTAAAAATCTACCAGTACAAACCCTATGGAGCACAGTGGTCTGACCCCACTGTGTGTGGGGCCGCCGGGAGGTGAGGGGCTAAGAAATGTCGCTGGACAAATGGTAGTGGGGAACGTGTAACAAGTGCCCTGAAGAAAAGGATTCAACTGTGAGATAACACTTTTTTTTTTAAATGTTTTATTGTGAATTATGTGATAGTTTACATGGGAGAACATTAGCTTTACATTCATCCTATTGTATATCCTCTCATTGCCATGGTTACAATCCCCTCCATGCATCATCAACCAACCAAAGGGTATACACTACAAGCATGCCCCCCGGTCGTCAGCACACAGCCCCTCTCCCTCTCTGGGTCTAAAGTCCCACAATATACTCTTGTGAACTAGATTAAAAAGCCTTTATTGCTAAATATGGTTGAAGTAGACGAACAGTGTGGTAGGCCCGTGGGTCCTGTAGCTGAAAGTAACACCAGGCCCAATGAAGTGGACATGACCAGGGCTCAAGATGTCACTTCTCCAGCACCTCAGTTAACAGAGTGTTTCTTCAGCTGTTTCTTGTGTCGGATGGAGAGTTGTGTGGGATGCCTCTGTACCATAGAGAGGTCGGACCTTGAGGAAGACCGGTAGCCCACATCCTCGTTTTTGATTGGTTTAATGATGTGGCCTGGCTTGGTGATGACCTTGGGAGCAGTCAGCTTTTGGAAGGCCCTCTGAGTATTCCATGTAGATCCTATAGGGGTCTGGATGGTCCTTTCAAACTGGTGATGGTGGGTAAATGGGTACGGAAGCACATGGACCTAGAAAGGAAGGGATAGGGACTTGGGTGACTTGGGTGCAGGGCATGGCCTGGGATGCAGCGGAATACCCACTCGAGTGGGAACTGGTCAGGTACTGTTTGGGCACTTAGGTCACAGTGCCACATGATGTCCACAAAGGTCAAGCCTCACTGTAGCAGTCCCGAGATGCGCAAGGGCATTTGGGAGCGGAGGGTCCTAATTTGGCTTAGGAGTACCCGATCTAGTCATCTAGTCACCCAGCCACAGCAGCTCCAGGGTTGCTGCCCCACAGTGGGCCTCTAACAGCACGACTGCAAGAAGTGTCCAGGCATCTGTGTGTTCCTATGGATTGTATGATTCTCCTCTCCTCACTATGCAGAATTCATGGTCTGACGGACCCAAAGATTTACCCCTGAACTCTGAACCGCACCATGTTTTAAGTTTAGCTTCACCCTCTTTTGGCATTGCAGAATGGGTGAGAAGACTGGAGAGATTGTCTATCTAGTCCAGTCCTGAGGGACATTCTAGAGAGCAGTGCATCAGGGGAGGGAGGGTATGGCAATGGTTGTTTTGCTCAGTCCCAAGTGAACCAGGAGCAGTACGGGAGAACGGCAGCTGGGGCTCCTGTTTCCTGGCTCAGTACAGCTCTCCCTCTACCATAATGCCACCTTCAAGCACTTCTACAATGGCCAAGGAGAAAGGGCAAGCCAAGAAACGGGGATGTTCATCAGTTGTCTTTGGGGATATTCACTGGAGCGTATAGGAGATACAGATTACCACCTGGTGATAGTGTTGTAAAGGTTCTCTGTGGGGCATGGGAATGTCTTATTTGGGTTGATAGCTCCCTCTGTGCAATCCACCCAGGGCAAGGGGGTAACAAACAAAATACCTGGCCAAAATATTCACTTTCAGGAATCATTGTTTTTAGCTTGAAGCTCACATTGGGGCCTGTGGTCTACAGGTTACTAAAAGTGTGAGAAAAATCAAAGGCGGTTCTTGGAAAACTACTGGTTTGCTGTGGCTGTATTAGAAAACAGAAAGGAGTAGATGACACCCCTGGAGGGCAAGGGCAACCTTGATGAATTTCACATCCTCCTCTTCACCTGGCATCACTGCTTGTTGAAGCTCCCACTTTTCCTACCTGTCTTGCCTGAAACTATTTCCTGGTTCTGTATCCTCAACTGAGACTGTGGTGGTATAATTCAAAATTCGGACACAAATTGTTCACAAAATAAGATCAAGTAGAGTACTATTTAGATGTAGCATTTTCTCATCTCTACTGGTGGTGATTGTGTGCCGTCGGATTGATTCTGACTCATAGCAACCCTGTATAGGGGTTTGGAGGCTGTAAATCTCCACAGGAGCAGACAGCCTCAATTTCTCCATCGGAGCGACTGGTGGATTCAAACTGCTGACCTTGCAGTTAACAGCCCAGCCCGGAATCCATCAGGGCTCCTTCCCCTCTACTATACTCGTGAAACAGTTCTCTCCCTCTTTTATTAGACGAAATAAACCCATTCATCTTACTATAATACTGGCTACGGACAGTGCTCAGGTTTACAGACTTTCAGAACAAAGGGGACCATCACCAAGGAAGGACACCTAGTACAACCTTCCTGAGTTCCCTCTACCCATACTCCTCCCCAAGAGCACGCCACTCTCTCTGTGGACTATTGGAAAGCCGTCCCTTGCATTCTGCTTGCTCCTCCGTGTCTACCCTACGTGACACCACATGGCAGGCTTAGCTCCTCCATCTCTCGAAGGTAAACCTTCACATTCAGAGAGAGAAGTGGCAATGGACTATAGAATGAGTCATCTCAGAGCCCGTCCGTGAAAACCAGAGTAGAGTGGATTCTGGGGTCAGGCTGAGACAGCCCTCTTGACCACAGATCACTGGCTGATTCCTCCCAGGCAAGAGGGAAGGAGGTGACACAAGAGCCCTCGAAGCCCTCACCTGATGAGCCGCGGTGTGAATGTTGCGCTTCTCATTGATAATCACATTCGGCAAATTCTGGTCTTTTCTTGGAGGACCCTCAGGGGCTTTCATGAGAAACCTGAAAAGCCAAACAACAGGACGTCTGACAAGGAGCATTAAGTGAAGGACTTAGTCAAAAGGGCAGGGAGGACACTTTGGGGTGAAGTGGGAGAACGCAGGGCCCTCCTGACAGGCGTTCGTTCTCTCTCATTCTTACCGGCGCCGCTTTTTGGCATTGGGCTGCAGACCCACGCCACCCCACTCGCCCCAGCCAGGCAGCGTCAGGTCCACATCCTTTGGCTTACAAGCCTCCACAGCTTCCCGCTTCTCTTTTAAGAAATCTCGGATGACATCATCCCCAGCAAATGCTTCTTTTATCATCTGTTTTTGGTAGCTCTCGTCTTCATCTTCCTAGGAAGAGACAAGAGTGAGAGCTCTAGCTTGCCTGACCAGCAGTGGTTCAGGACAAGATCACTGGAAGTTTGGGTCACGACATTTTAGCGCCCCCTAGGGGAAGAGTGTTGAACAATGGCCTTGCAGTGTAAATCTATCATGCTTGGATTTTCTTCTCTCTCTAGGGTATGGAGTCCTGGTGTGTGCTGTGGGCTAATGTGCTGCACTGCAAAGTTGGCTTGAACCATAACGTTGGAGGTTCAAGCTCACCAGGCACTTCTTGGAAACCCTATACAGGGTCACTATGGGTCAAAACTGACTTGATGGCACTTAACAACATGGTACGGAGTCCTGGTGTGGTGCGGTGGGTTAATGCAAAGTTGGTTTGAACCGCAAGGTCAGTGGTTCAAGCTCACCAGTTGTTCCTTGGAAACCCTACCCAGAGTCACTATGGATCGCTTTGGTGGCACTTAACAACAGTGTATAGCTTCCTAGCTCATTATCACATGATTCAATTTTAAACTTTCAGCAAGAAACCTGCAGGGTGGAGGAAGGCATGGCCTTTGACAGAAAGAAGAGGTTCAACTGGCCCGGCCAGACCATGGGCTTCCTCTGGCCTTATGTCCTGAGAAAGACAAATGCCAGCACTCTTTATGTTTCCAAGTCACTGAGCTGGGGAGTCCCCAACTATGTGGGACCCCCTCCCCCCCCCCCCCCCCCCCCCCCCCACACAGTTCCTCATTGAGACACTTTCTGCACCAGCTCTGCTCCCGCCACCAGGGCCCACGACCCTGACTCTGCTCACCAACTCCATGGTTGTGGGAGCTGCCAGAGACTTCACGGAAGGAGGTTTGGTGGTGAGGAGGTTCTGAAGACTGATCATTTGTGACTTCCTATTCTTCTTCGGAGCATCAGGCTGATCGTCTGGCTTCTTTTCTGCTTGCTGCTCTTGCTTTGCACGTCTGGGGAGCTCCGTGTTTCCGGAATGGCCTTCTTTGCTCAGCTCTTCCAGGTCTTCCAGAGTTGTTGCTCTCTGTGGCTTCTGCAACAACAGGGGCTCCTCCTCCTCCAGGGACGGTTCCTCTGTCTGGACTGGGGGAGCGGTCCCCAAGGAACTCCCTTTCGGCTTCTGGGTCTGATGGGTCTTCTTGTTAAGTTTCTGAGACAGCGCCCTCAATTCCGATAGCACCTCCTGGCTGTTAGCATCTGGAAGGAAATGAGAGCTATCAGCAGAGGAAGCGGGAAGTTACCTATCAACAAGGACACTTAACAACAAGTATTTGTTAAGCACCCACTGGGTGCTAGGTATAAAATGAAAGATCCTCCAAGGACAAATGAGGAAGAGGAGATTCCAGATACAAGATCCTCGGAAGAGTTCACGAAGTAGCAGGCAGTGAGGTTTGGTGGTTAAAGCTTCATGTTGGGAAGCAGATGTCCTGGTCCAATTCACAGCTTTGTGAATGACTCACTCTACTAACTGAGACTGTGCTTAATTTCCGTGTACAGCAAACCCGGCTTGGGGAGATCACCCCAAATTCCAAGCATATAAGGGAACCATTTGAACAGGTGGCCTCTGAATGCAATTTCTTTGTAATTTATGCTTGTAGTTAGGTTCTGGGGGTGAATTCTGATTCACACCCCCCCCCCATGTGGCAGTAGAAATGGCACCCTGTTTTCTAGGCTGTAATCTTTATGTCCTGGTGTGGCGCTGTGGTTAATGCACTGGACTGCAAAGTCGGTTTGAACTGCAAGGTCAGTGGTTTAAGCTCCCAAGCAGCTCCTCGGAAACCCTATACAGGGCTGCTATGGGTGCAAACTGACTTGACGGCACTTAACAACAATCTTTATGAGAGCCTTTCTCCCGTGAAGCCTCTTGGTGGGTTTGAACCACCAAACTTTCAGTGAGCAGCCACGTACTTATTCGTTTTACAACTTGCTGTTGTTGTGAAGTGCCGTCGAGTTGGTTCCGACCCATAGCGACCCTGGATAGGGTTTCCGAGGAGCAGCTGGTGGGCTTGAGCTGTCGACCCTGCAGTTCAAACAGCTTTGCAGTCTGGCGCGTGAACCCACAGCACCACACCAGGACTCCGTTTTACAACTTTGTTGTTGTTAAGTGCCATCGAGTCGGTTCCGACCCATAGTGACCCTGTACAGGGTTTCTGAGGGTGTAAATCTTTACGGGAGTAGAAAGCCTCATCTTTCTCCCACGGAGCGGCTGGTAGTTTCGAACCGCTGACCTTAAGGTTCGCAGCCTGATTCGTAACCACTACGCAACAACTAGGGCCCCTTAATTTGTACTTTACTATGTATCAAGACCTTACCCAGGACCGAGCTGGACTCTAGGATCTGCCGTAAAGCAGTTCTTTCCTAAGCAAGTCCAGAAACAGTGGAAGCAGCTGCAGTCTGAGGTGGATGTAGTGCTCTGAGCTGATGTCGCCTGTCTCTCAACGCCCTGAGGGTGGTATGGCAACGACAGACCTCTCAGCTGCCCTTCCCACAGACTCCAGTTGTCCCCACCCCCAGGTCAGTTCTGCTCTTCCTCGCTGTGACTTGACGCCACTCAAGAAGCTACTGAGGTCTGGCCTTTAGACACATAGGATCTTTCTTTCTAGACAAGTTTTCTTGCTCATTCTGTTTGTGGTCTAGTACTTCCCACTGTGGCAGGAAAATTCTGTTAATTACTCAGGGAAATCCAAGCTCTCTTTCATACTTCCTTACCACAGCCAACTGTAAACCCTTAGTGAGGTATACGAGGGGGCTTCATGGACAAATTCCATGATCTTTTGATCCCATTTTTCCACATACCCTTTGCAGCCCCCTTGTACAGCTGTTATGGGGGCTCCAGAAGATGTGACACTGCTGCTTTCTAAAACCCCCTCAGAAATAACCACATGTCACTATCAATCCCAGAAATCCTTAGTCAAAAGCCCTCAGTATAAACTCCAACAACACATTTCAAAATGACAGCTGTTTTCAAATAGTACCCAGGTACAAACAGAGTCTTGCTGTCATTTAAATGCATTATTCCTTGAATGAAATAAAACCAGATTGGAGAATGCAACCAGAGAACCAAGGAATTCTGGAGTGTAGACAGTTTTCTCAGCAGGCTTTACAATCTCCTGGATACCCCCAGAATGGGAGCTCTCTGACCTGTCTCAAGGCTGCCAATGTCAGTTACAGAAAAGCTCTTCAAGAGAAAAGGGCAGGGTGATGACGACACAACACGGTGATGGAATTCACATCACGGAACCCCTTTCAAACGGCGACAATGGCACACAATTTAAAAAACGTCTACCTAAAGATTCAAGGCTGAAATGGCAAATAATTTGTTTTGTATGTACACTTATCACAATTTAAAAAAGAGTAGACATATGAGGGAGCTTCAAAAACTTTGTGGAAAAAAATTCCATTCTCTTTAACTTTCTGAAGGTCCCTCATTATTTTCGGCACGGGGCAGATATTTACAACCACCTGATTTTTATGGCTAGTCCCTGGTGGTTTTTATGGCTAGTCCCTGGTGGTGCTATGGGTTACACGTTGGACTGGTAACTGAAAAGTCAGCAGTTCAAACCCACCTGTGGCTCTGGGGGAAGATGTGGTTGTTTCCTCCCATAAACATTTAGTCTTAGAAATCCTATATAGGGTTGCTTTGAGTTGGAATCGACTTGATGGCAATGTATTTTGCGGTTCGTATTAATTGAAAGAAATTAAGTACAGAAAGTTACACTGTTGTTGTTAAGTGTTCAAGTCAGTTCCGACCCATAGCGACCCTGTAGAGGGTTTCCGAGGAGCCGATGGTGAGCCTGAACTGCCGACCTTGAGGTTCAAACCAACTTTGCAGTCCAGAGCAATAAATTATAGCTTTGCCCATGCTTTGTAAAAGAAGGTATCTTAGCAAACTCTCTCTTTTATTAAAATTAATGTCCCCCTCCCTCCCTGGTCAGGATAAAACAGACTAAAAATAACCAACTGTATACTGCTACTTCAGGAAAAACAGGTCTCATTAAGAGAACTGGTAGACTAGCGAACACACAGGCAGACTCTTCAACACACCGCTGCAAGTTTTGTTCTTTATTCTGTTTGTCAAGTATCGTGATTGTTGTGTACGTCTCTAGATCACAGAGCTTACAGACTCACTGGCGTATACCACAATTGCCGATACTTTACAAATGGATGAAAAGAACAAAATCTGCAGCAGTGTGTTGAAGAAGTTCCCCAGCACTTCACAATCCACCTACTTGTGCCTCTGTAGGTTTGTTAACGGCAGGTCCCTAGATTTGCCATCCCACCTACACGCTTCTCTCTGGATCACAGATGACGTTGATGGCGAGTCAATGCCATTCCTTTCAGGATGGGTTAAATAGGCCTTTCTGAAAGGCTGTCAGAGCCCGAAAGGCTGCAAGAGCAGAAGATGTATCTGTACACACACTGGACAGTCAAGCAGAGGGTGCCTTTTAAGAAAATCGGTCATTATTAATTGAAATTTTCCTCGGGGACTCAGTGCTCTCACTCTTCCAAATCCCCGGAGCCAGATGGCTGTACATGTGTGTGGGTGGACACTTACTTCTCCTTGAACTGTCTGTGACACTAGAATACTGTCCCTTCGGTATCACTGCAACTCACCTTGTGCTTCTTGACTGCCTACAGGCTTACTGTCTTGGTTGAGCTTAGACCTTTCCCTAAGGGATCGTTTTTTCTCAATTTCTCTCAATAAGGTCTCTTCTGCTACTGGACTCTTTTCCTCCTCACTTTCTGAATCCTCGTAGGCCATAGACTTGGAGAGTTGTTCCGGGTCCTTCTGGATTTTCATCTCGTTCACGTCACTGGTGCATCTTCGGAGCATCCAGGGATTCGACCCATTTGCATTCACTTGGACTTCGTTCACGACATCAGGGATAAGGAGTCCATCCTCTTCTACGCCACCCTCCTCTTCCTCACTCTCAGATACTGCCTGGAGTTTCTGTGTCAGCTCTTTGTTCTTGGCCAGTTGTTCCTGCATGGCTTGGCGAGCCTGGAGGAGGAGGAGACACAGCAGGACCCTTGTCATTAATGGCCACGATACCACCATTCCTGGTCCATTTGTTATAGCTGCCTTCTCACAATTAGATACAACAAAGATTCTTCAGATGCTTAGTGCAGAAAACTGTGTACACACCACTGTACTAACAGCTATGGGATAAAACAGAAGACAAACTCTTTGTCCTCAAAGAACTGACACGAGAAACGAGATACAAAGCTCCTCTCTGCCCCCAGGTACTGGACTTGCTTTCAATGCTGATGCTCTTTCACCTCTCCTTTCCTTAGAGACTTCCTGGCTTTCCATTCATACTCAAGGCTCTTCCTCACTCTTACAGATCGATTTCCCTTTCCTTCCTCTAATTCTATGCTCTTCCCCGATGGTCTCTTACCTCTAGGTCATATTTGGCCATGATTGCCTTGGACTTGGCCCATTTCCCACTGTTCTGGTGCTTAAGGCTCATTCGCTCCTGGAAAGAATGGACAGAGTGAGATCCTTATAGTATTCCAGGGAAAGCTGGTACAGGGGAGTGGAGGCCAGTGAAACCTCACCAGCATCCGAGCCTTTTCCATTTTCTCCAGTTCTTCTAATGCTGCAGTTGGATTGACCTTCTGCAGAGTCTCAAAATCTTTCAGGGCTTTCTTAGCCTTTCCTTTCTTCACAATCTTGTGGTATCTATAGAGTAAGAGTAAGAGTCCTTTTTTGGTGCTGTAGGATAAGCACCAGCTGATGACCAGAAGGTTAGAGGTTCAAACCCACCCACCACTCCCTGGAAACTTTATACAGAGTCGCTAACAGTTAGAACTGACTAGCAGGCACTTCACAACAACACAGAATAAGCACTAGACTGCAAACCACAAACGAACTGCAAGGTTTGTTGTTAAGTGCCGTCAAGTCGGTTCTGATCCATAGTGACCCTGTATTGGGTTTCTGAGGAGTGACTGGTGAGCTTTGGCTCAAAACCATCAACCACTCCTCAGAAACTCTATATAGGGTTGCTATGAGTCGGAACTGACTTGATAGCACTTAATAACAGAGTAAGAGAGGTCCTGGTGTGGCGCTGTAGGATAAACACTGGACTGCTAACTGCAAGGTCGGAATTGACTCAACAGCACGTAACAACAGCAAATAGAGTGAGAGGGCTAAGGGCACTTCCCATGCTCTTCCCTAGAGACCGCTGACGGGACGGAGCCAACGTGGGGCCTGCAAAGACCGGCAGGCCTCAGTCCTGCCGTAAACCAGGAGCAAATCTCTGAAGAGTGAAGAGTCCCCTCTGCTTCTCTAGCCTGAAGGAAGTGGAGAACAAGTCCCAAAGAGACAGAATGGCAGGGAGGAAGCCCATGTGGCTTCCAGAGCTGTGGAAGCAGGCTACAGTATCCTGGAAGGGAGTGGAAGTCAAAGACAGAGGACAGGGCATTCTGGAAGCACACCTTTATTGGAGATCTCTTTTACATGACTGCAGTCACCATGTCAAAGAGTCAGCCTCATCAAGTGCTTCCACTGACCCCAAGGCCAGTTCCTAGGGGCCACCTTACTTTTTGCTTTTGATTTTCTTCTCTCTTCGAGCCTTGGCCTCATAGTAGGACTGCAGGGCCCGGGCCCTCTGGAGCTCCGCTCGGCGCATCTTAGCCTACAATGAAGGACATTTACAGCGAGCCCGCTGGGCCGGAGGGCAACGGTGGGGAGAAGTCACATGCCTTGGTGTGTCGGAGGGCCTAGTCCACCTACCTCTTCCAGGCTCATAGCTCTGAGAGCGGCCTTTTCCACTGGTGTCAGTAGAGGGTCTGTCACGGGTTGCTTGTTCTTGTTGAGGACATTAAAAATCTCCTGCTCCAGGGGCGTTCTTGCCTTATGAGGTTAGAGAACATTCTCAATCTTAGCCCATGCTTTTTTTAAAAAACAAAACAAAACCCCTTTTGATTGTGACTTGAGTGAAGATTTATAGAACAAATCATCAGTCCCACATTTAACAAATCAAATACTTGGTGTCCTTACAATGATTGTAATACCCTCCATGGACCATCAGTTCAGTCTTTACGTCTCTCCTGCCACCCTCATCTTTCCTGTGCCAGCCTCTTCCCTTCTGCTGTATATTACCTTCCCCAGCACTCAAGTTAACACATGGCTACCCTCTACCCAGGGAACAATTTTCCCTTCCCTGCCACCACTGGTAACCATCATAGACTGTTTCTTTTAGCAAGAAAACATTTTAACTTTTTACAACGGTGGTCTTGTACAATAATTGTTTTTTGTGGTTTACTAATTTCGCTCAGCATAATATGTAGGATAAGCACTGGATTGTGAACCACAAGGTCAGTGGTTCAAGCCCACCAGCCGCTCCACAGGAGACAGATGAGGCTTTCTGCTCCTGTAAAGACTGACAGCCTCCAAAACCCTCTATAGAACTGCTATGAGTCAGAACTGACTCAACAGCACTTAACGATGTCCTACAGGTTTATCCATATTCTTGGCTGTTTAGCAGCATGTGGTATGCCACTGTATGTGCCAAAGTTTGTTTAAGCATACTTTCTGCTGATGGTTAGCCTACACTCTTCCAAGTCCCTCTTTACATTCCTCTGATCATCCCTTTGATGACATGCTAACTGTAAAGATTGACTAACAGTAAGAAAAGGGTCACCACAAAACAGTTCCAACCTTGCTGTGTAGTTATGTAACTAAAACTTTATTCTGGCTTAAGACAATATCAAGAGGCCTCTCTGATATTATCGGCGGGGGTTACTCTGTGTTCAGAGTTCCAGTACGTGTACAAAAGAATTCCGCTCTCCTAAGAAACGAAGCAGGACGCCCTTCAGGTACATGCTGGTACATTCACGACAGAGTGACAATAGTCCCATGATGATGGCCACAGAACAGCCAAACAGTCCCTGTACTATTAATGTACTTGAAGCACGTCACTATTACCTTAACATTAGGAGTTTCAGGTACATGTCATAGCCTCCTTTAGGGCTCTCTCTAGAGGGGGAAGATGAGTTCTTAAAAAAAGCAGTTAATTTTAATGCCACTGATGGAACAGTCAGGAAAAGTCTGCAGAACAGCTCATAGGGAAACTCCCAACTTTTAATTAACCATGGCCAACTGCTATGAATCATGTTATGTATGTATGCGCTCTCGATAGCCTTCATTACTGATGAGGAGGAATGGGGTTACATATAAGTTGATGGTGGGGTATGCAGTTTAACTTTAAAAAATATCGCCTTGGTGTACTTAGCCTGTTTCCTGACAGGTCAAGTTTAACTCTGCTCATCTTCTAAATTTGGCACCAATCCCTCAAGTTTCTAGTTCGTTTGCATGCTAGGTCACGTGAGCTACCATTGTATTGCTCCTGCTGTCTGACTGATGTTGCGAGGATGGCTAAAATCATCAGGCCAAGTGAGGTCCAGAGATGGCCCCTAGGCCAGCAGTCCACTTCCAACCCTCACACACATAATGTACCTGAAATGTGGTTGCCTTCACTAGCTGTGTATGTCTTGGTCAGGGTTAAACGTATCAGATATCTGGGTCACTGCATAAACGCCTGTCACGTTACACGAGGTGACACGTTCTTCCATTTTCAGTACTTGCAGCAGAACAACCATGGGCTCCACAGTGATTTGTAATCATCACAATGCTGGAATCGCCCTTCAATTCAATTCACAAACACTTACTGAATGCAGCTACATTCCAGGCACTTGTGTTGGGTGCTAGAACACATGGATGAATGAAGCCTGTTCCTGTCCTCAGAGAGCTCATAACCATTCAAAGGACACACACACACCACTAAGACTACAGCAGGTTAGAGGCAAGCGGTGGTGTAATTCGAGGAAGGGCCAGTTGGTTCTGACTAGGAGGTGGATTAGAGGTCATAGGGTTCTAAAGAAGTGATTTTTTGAGTTAGGCCTTGAAGCCTCAGTATGACTCTGTACAGAGGAAAACACAGAACATTCCTGAAAGGAGCAAAAGCAGAAATACAGAGAGTTTTCCAAAAGTTCGTGGATGAAATGACATTACCTTTAATTCCATTTTTCCACGAACGTTTTGAGGGCCCCTGGTATATGGGACTAAGCGGTGTACACGGGAACTCTGAGCTCCAGTGTAACTACAAAAAGCCGCAGAGGAAACAGGGACCTGAGAGCTAAGAGAAGGGACAGGACTAGACCACTGTCTGGGGGTGGGGGTGGGGAGGGAGGCGGTTAAGGGCAGAGAGAGGAATTGGAAGACCTAAATGGCTATGGCAGGAAGTCATGCTGTTTACGAGGTTAGGGAATGCAGGTGAAGTTTCAGGAGCTCAGGGGAGGCCCTGGTGATGCCTACTACTGAACAGAACAGAGGACTGAGCACAGATGGGGTTGAGAGTGATCTGGAGCACATACAGGAGATGGCCCCAAATCATGGACCCATGTGAATTGGCCAGGTAATTGACAGAGCCAGAATCAAAAGACTGAAGAAAACCCACCTAGATGAAAACCACCACCACCTGGAACACACAAAGGAAGTCAGTCACTGGAGGAGTTTTTAGGAACATGATGTATCAATAGTGTCAAAGGGGCTCAGGATTTGCCCACTTGGAGGCTCCTCATAATGAACTTTGAGAGACGTTTCAGTTGCAGGGCAGTGAGGGAAGAAGTCTGGCAGTTCTATGAATTAACAAGATTTAAAAAATTTTGAAAACATTCACCATTTATTTTTGTAAGAAATAAAATCCGTTTGTACACCCTGGGTTCAATTAGATTACCTGGGTTTCCTTACCATCTCTTTATAGCCTTTGAAATGCTAGTATGGACGAGAAGGAAGGGGAGGGCAATACACAAGAAGGGGGAGGGGGACGGAAGAACAAGGTAGATAGGGGAACACTGAGGCTAGATGGGACAGAGGTAAATAGTGATGCACGCTCAACCTTGGAACAAGGCTCTGTGATACAGGGATCGAGGCATAGTCTGAACAGGAGAAATAATTCTAAGATGCTTGACTGTCTCATGAATATTGGTTTCCCTTCTCTACTATTGTAAAATAGACACTTGAGTGGAACAAAAAGGAATGTCAGGAAACATGATTACAGAAAGCTTGTAAGCCCATCTTCGGCCTATAACTGATTAGAATATCTAAAAGGGGTTCTAGAACTTGCCCAGTGAAATAGGCTTCCTGCAGAGCCTTTGTAGTGTATAGGACCTTAGGTGGAATCCTGAGCCCCATCCAGAACTTTCTGAGGTGGGACATTCCCACTTGAAAAGACATGTGGACCAACCCAGAGCAGCTAGAGGAACAGAAGACACTTCCTGAAAGAAAGACCAGCAGGAAACGATAAAATAAAAAATGGCAGTCTGTTTAGCTATTACAAGAACACAAGCAAGTTGTTCAAAGCAAGCAATCAAGTCCCTTCAAGACAACCCCCTCTCCAAGACTGCAACTCAAAGGGAACACACGAGCCGTCATGTAAGTTCAATGGTGACAACATTGGTCTACATGTGAGTGGAAGTGGGGGAAAGGCAGTAAAGAAGATATGGGCTGAATTCAATCACAGTTCCATAGACTCCTATCAACCTCATGATAAGAGAAAGAGGAAAGGCTGGTTGGTCCAAAGTTTGGGGAGACTTGGGAACTCATGAGCCCATGGACATCTACTTAGCCACGGAGGGTTAGAGCTGAGAGTGAAGCATCCAGCTGAAATGAAGTGGAGGGAGATTGCAAAAACACCCAAACTTGCAGATAGTACCCAGTTGACCTAGCTTCGATGGCTTGATGACCAGACCTTGACTAGAGGAAGATACACCAACTGAGAAGGAAGGAGTCTTCACGTCAAGGATCAATCCTATCCCCTCTGTACACAGGGTTGATAAGGGGTGTGGGGGAAGGTAGAGTCTCCAGAGTGGTTTTTTACCTGTCTAGATGGGGCTGGTGAAAGGAGATGGGGATAGGAGTCAATCTTACATTCTAGGAACAGTGGACCCTGGGACCATCAAGGGAGAAGAGCATAAGCGGAATGTGGGACCCTATCCAGAGAAACAGCAACAACCAGAGATGGAGGCAGAGATGAGGACATGGAGAGAGGGAGCAGCTGAGGGCTCTAGACTCATGGAAAGAGAAGGGCTGTGTGCTAGCGGACAGGAAGGAGGCTTGCAGAATGTGCCCTTTGGTTGTTCAAATGCTTATGTATTCCTGAGTGTTTCTGTGTACATCAAAAATAATAATAATAATAATAATAAAAACAGAGGGAACAGAAGCAAATACTGTGAAATGATGCATGGAGAGGACTGTAATCATTACAACGAAACAAAATATGATAGGATGAATGCAAAACCAATGTTCTCTCATGTAAACTACCAACCAATCCAAGCTAAAACAAATGCGAGTGTGCATTGTGAACTGTGAACCTCCAGTTGGGGCATATAGCATGCAGCCTTTTCTAGCAGTGGACCTCCCTGTCCCTGTTTGAGGGCATATGGAAAGACCAGGGTTTGGAGAGAACTTTGAGAAATGCCGGTATACACTAAAATGTCTAATAGCAGTGGGGAGGAGGAATGAGGTGTGGTGTTCATGGAACGGCAAAGAAAAAGTGACCTTCCATCACGTCACAGTTTACAAATACCTTTGCACGCACTGTCATACTGAATTCTCCGCTAGAGTGAAATGAAACTTTAGGGCACTAGATCAACATGAAAGAGTCTTGGTGTCGCATTGACTGACCTATGGAACAATTCTTTCGCTATTGGATCAACTTGGTGCCAGTGAGTTTGGGTTGGACCAAAACTACAGAGCAGACTTTTGATTCTCCATTTCCAGAAACCGAAACAACACTACTCTCTGGTATTCTGCACTCTAAGTTGTAAGGAGAGATCTGGGAGGTGCTATCTAAAAACCACCTCCTGGCCTAAGAATTTCCTGCTTCCTCTGTGCCACGCTGACGCTCATTTCTCAAAACCAGGAATCTTTGAAAGAATAGTTGGCACAATGTAGTCAATGTGGAACACTTGAGTTGTAGTCTGGTTTGCAGAACGAGTTCCTGGAGAGCAGAGATTGCGCCATTCTTAGTGGGCCCTCCTCCACCACCATTTGACCATTTTTAATAACCAACTCAGTACTGGGATTTGTTGAAATTTCTTTGTTTCTAATAAGTTCCTCCCTCTGTACCCCAAATCAGTAAATATACCAGAAACTGAGAGTGTGCTGCTCTTCTGAAAAATGAGAAGGAAATATAAATACATATACAAAACTTCAAAGTTTAACAAAAAACTCTTAAGTGGTTGTTGTTGTTGTGTACCGTCAAGTCGGTTCCGACCCACAGCGACCCTGTACAGGGTTTCCGAGGCTGTAAATCTTTACGGGAGCAGAAAGCCTCATCTTTCTCCCGCGGAGCAGCTGGTAGTTTCGAACTGCTGACCTTGTGGTTCGCAGCCCGATTTGTAACCACTACGCTACCAGAGCTCCTTAATTAAAAAGTGGTAAGGGGGTAAAAATCAGCACATGGGGTGGGGGGTGGAGGGTCAGACCGTCACTATATAAGATCTGTTATTTTGATTTTTCAGTCCTGCAAATTGCATTACCTCTTATTTTTTTTTCCTAAAGTCTCCCTTCCATCCTGCAGCCACACTTTAAACCTGATCTCTTTCGTGTGGAAAAGGAAGCATCCTAGAAAGAGAATGGCAGTGTCTTCAGCAACATCATCCGAACGCAAGCTCATCCCCGTAAACAGTAACTAGGCACTCCATTGCTAGCTCTGCTGGCAAACGAGGTTGATTTTGATCAGTTTTCATTGTCTGAACCTACCCCAAACACAGTACACTATTATTCTCGGAGTTTTCGAAAGTAGGGAAAAGAAGCACAAAGACACCCTCTACTCATGGTTTGGGCACTGCTGTTTTGACTCGTTTTCTATTTAAGACAGAGCATCCTATTATAAACTCCTTACCAATGGTGTACTGGAAAAGAAAGGCTGGCTGTTTGCAGCCACCCTGTATATTACAAACCAGTGAAGGATGACCACAGAGCTACTTTGATTGGCTAGTGCTGAACTGACAACGAAGATATGCCACCCCCTTTCTGAAGCTAGAGGTTGGGCTTACCACGGCCGATCAAATCAACTGCAGGCTCTGAGAGCTCTAGGTTCCACACTCTCACCTTTCAAGGTTTGGTTTTCTTTTCTTGTACTAACCTTCCAGCCACCGAGCATATGCTCCAGGGGAGCAAAGGCTGCCTGCTCCTTCTCCAGCGGAAAGACCAGCTGCTCTGCGTTCCGGTTCTTTACAACAATAGGATCCCATTTAGAGAGAGCTTGGGAGGTTTTATTGAATGCCACTTCTCTATGGATCTGAACCAGGCCATGTACAGAAAAGGAGAGAGCCACATGATTAGGCATCCAAAGCAAAGGACTAACCGGAAATTCGGAGGCAATGTTTCTTAGCCCAGGAATGACTCAGGATGCTTTGTATTTCTTAGCACTGAAATTTCCCCAGGATTATGTTTCATCTTTTCCGTGGTGAGGGTGAGGGAATTCCAACAGCCCCTCCTCCATTTTTTCCAGACTTTCCCCTTCCTTTTCTTATATGATCCTCTTTGTCAACTCAATCTCTTCTCCTTCATGGATCACTGTCTCTGTAACTTACCCGCGCCACCTCTTCTTTGTTAAGGGGCAACTCCACCGTTTTCTTTGATTTGACTCTATTCAGTTGCTTTTTCACAGTGGCCAAGGAAGGCGATGTTTTAATGGGCTGAAGCAGGTCTGAAAGGCCCAGCTTTTCTCTTGTTCCTGTACAAAGGCCAAACTTTCTGGTCAGACTGTGAAGTTAGGAACAATCTCATTATCATGCAGGAAGATACTTCACTTGTGGAGGGAGAGGGGAACAGGGAAAAACCTGACTTCATTTTTCTATTCCTAGCCAGAGATCCCATTACTTTCCTACAGTATTTCCAGATGTGTTGGGGTGGGTACGTAGAGGGCAGGAGAAAAAGACATTCATTTAAAACACCATCATTTGTTTACACCCAGTCTCTCTGCTTCCAGTCTTGCAATTCGTTACTTTCTGTCGAAAATATAAAGCCACAGCATATCATGATGCTTCTAAAACCCTTCCAATGGCTCCCATTACCTTTGGAATAAAATCCATCTAAAGACCCAGTACCTGTCTACCTCTCCAATCTCATGTCATATGTTCCTCACACTGGCCTTCTCCCTAGTCTTCAAACACCAAGATTACTTCTTTGCATTAAACTGTTTTTCCTCTTTGCATGGTTGAGTCCTCTTGTTATTCAGATCTCAGTTTAAACCTCCCAGCACCATCCTTCCTGCCCTTTCTAAATCTCAAGTGGCCACTTACTCACTTAACTGTGCTATCCTGTTTGAATTCTCTTACTGCCTCCCTCCAACACTATACAAGTCCCAAGAAGGCACGATTTATTCTCTACTTCAGTCTTAGTATATAGAACAGTTCTTGATACTGACACATCGAGTTTGACTCAGTGACCTTACAGGACAAAGTAGAGTTGCCCTATAGGGTTTCTGAGGTTGTAAATCTTTACGGGAGCAGATAGCCCTTCCTCTTTCTCCCAAGGAGTGGCTGGTGGGTTTGAACTGCCGATCTTGTGGTTAGCAGCCCAAAGCTTTACCCACGGTTTCACCAGGGCTCAATACATATTTGCCAAGTGAATATGCTTGGGAACACCAGTGGTTACTACAAATGCAAGCTCATTCAAGCTGCTGAAGTTACAAATGTGGTGACAAGATTTGGCATCTAAACTTGGTATCAGCTCTGCTACTTGTGTTCTTGAAAGAGGATAGCAATTGAATTGGGAGAGGTGGAATCTCAAATATTATAAAGTTCTGTATCACTCCAAAGCTAAACCCTATCCAACAAAATCTTAATTCCTTAGTATTTAATTTCTTGGGGGAGGGTGTCAATTAAGGAGGGGAAAAAAGATAGGAAGATGATTTAAAAAAAAAAAAAAAAAGTTGAAAAACCCTGTACTAGATGAAGGTCCTTGAGTAAGTAACTTGACCTCTCTCGAGCTCCAGCTAACGCAAATGTTGTTGAGAACTGAAATTCAAATGAAATAGTGAATATTAAAGAGCTGTACAAATATTAAGTATAATTAACTAGTGAGAGGCAGCCATCTTTATATCTCTTGATCTCAGAAGTATCCCATCAAGCTCTGTATGAGGCTTTGACCCTAGCCTAGAAGAAACAGGAAACCCAAGGGCATCTGAGTACCCTGTCTTCACCTACTTTCCTAGACATTTATGGTCCGAGTCTGTAACCACATCAAAACCAGTTCCTGGGGCAAAAGGTCCATACATGGACATCTTTCTTTCTTTCTGTAACTTACCTTCAGAACTGACATTGAACTCTGACACCTTCAGACTGGCCTCCGATCTCTCAGCCACTTTCCACCTGAAATGAGGCAAGACAGCATAGAGTAGAAATGGGCATATTTTGCTGGGGGAACAAGCATCTCTCTTCAAACAAAGCTTGCTGTTAGGAGCCATTGAGTCGGTGCTGACTCATAGCGACCTTATGCACAGCAGAATGAAGCACTGCCCGATCCCAGGCCAACCTCACTATTGTTGCCATGCTTGAGCCCATTGATCTTGCCACTCTTTCAATCCATCTCGCTGGGGGTCCTCCTCTTTTTCTCTGACCCTCCACCTTACCAAACATGATATCCTTCTCCAGCAACTGGTCCCTCCTGACAATATGTCCGAAGTATGAGAGACAAAGTTTG